GCACGTCTGGAGGAGCTACCATTCCCCCCCTCGTGGCCTTGTGCTCGTGGCTTTGCTTTTGGGCTGGCCACTGAAACATTGGCTAAGCTTGCAACTCCGTGCAGCCGACACGCCGGATCACTTCTCACATGCACCTTCCGCATGCCGGGTTTGCATATCCCCCCAGCTTCCCTGCAGAGTCGACACTGCATCTTCCCAGGAAGTTTGCCTTGGGTTCCGCGAGGATGTAGTATGGCGGTCCCCCCCTACTGACGGGCCACCTCCCGAAGGAGGGCCGTGGTCAAGGGGTCCCGTGAGCGTAAAACCCTTAGGGCCACTTAAGCAAAATGAGCAGCGGCGTGCGACTCAAGCGCCGCTGGGGAAAGCAACACGGCTCTCCTAAGGCTTACAACCTTAGGCCAACCGCGTGCCTCCCCCCCCGTACCAAGGAGGGTTTACAGTCCCCCAAGGCAAAGGTGCGGACACTTGAGCCAAAATGGCTACTCTCTCTCTCTCTCTCTCTATCATTCCTTCCACCTCCGCTACTCCCTTCCTCAATCCTTGTCGGTGCACTCAGTATCGCGTCGGCGCAACCGCTCACACTATCCATGAGCTCTTCTTTGCAAGGTATCTATATGTATGTGAATCCATGCACACCAACTCTTGGTTGAATTTATGTGTGTGTATATATATATATAACTGTAAATACTATTGTAATGATCTGGTGCTTTGTCTCTTCGGCTCTATCGCACTGCCGACAGTATGTTGGCTTAGAGACTCTCCGAGACTAAATTTTTCTCCCGGAGACCCGTGGCAGTGGAGGGCTTCTTGAGCAGAGCTTCATGTTGCCAATCCCGTAGGTTACATTTGTAACCGTCGTGGATGTCACTGTTGTTGACGAGGTCGTCCTCGTCCTGCGTCAGGCTTCCGGATCCGTTCTTCGAATTTGTGGGTTGGCTTTGACTCTACGATGGTTGGGCTCTGGGAAGATGCCATTCTGTCTGCAGAGTGGAGACAGGTGTGAGGTTTCGGGCACGGATCCCACTTCAGCCTCGTTGTTGACGTGGTCGTGACTGTCATGCTGGTCGTCGTAGTCGTCATGGTGCTTGTCGTAGAGCTCGTTTCGTCCGACGTGTTCTGTGTCGTGTTGCCGTCGGAGTCATCTCCCTGCAGCAACAACAACAACGACGACGACGACGACAACGACCACGACCACGACGACCACCACGGCAACGACAACCACGATCAGACGATACCATAAACACAACCTCGACGACGACGACGATGCACACCACCACCACCGCTACCAACAACAATGACCACGACAACGACTACTCCAAAACCGCCACAACAACCGCCACTGCCGCCGCCACGACGGTTACGGCGATCACACACACCACCACCACCACCACCACCACCACCACCACCACAACAACAACAAAAAAACAAAGCACGGCCACAACCGAAGCAGCAGCAGCAGCAGCAGCAGCAGCAGCAGCAGTGGCGGCAAAACAGCAGCGACATTAACTGCAGCAATAACAACAGTACCATGTCCACGGTGAACGGCGCCTGATCTGCTAGAATACTAGAACCACATCTACAGCTACTGTGTGACCTGCAGTAGCTACAAACGCAACCTCAACAACAGCAGCATCAAGAACAGCATCCACTACATCAACCGGTCAACAGAGGCAATAGCTTCACGCTTTCAGCCAAAGTATCATCAACAGCAATTATAGTGTGCTTGCGATAATCATCAGTACTTACGAAAGCCGTGATGATGAACACACGGAAGAGAATGATGAGGCGGGGAAACCGAGCACGGAGTTAGGCAAGGACTGGCAATCAAAGTTGAAAATCGAGTTTGACTACTTTGCCCAGGGCTGTCGGTGGTGCTGCAAGATGACGCTGCTGCAAGACCGGCTTAGGAAGTGACAAGCTCGGGGACACGACCTGTCCCGCACTGAGAAAGGACTCTGAAAATCTTGAGGTTCGTGCCCAGAGTGAGGGTTCCCTTCAGTTGCTGACCCGAGAGGCCAGTAGTCGCCTGAGGTCGTCGGAGTCATCCTCTGCTCTCACTGGTTGCAAGGAGTGTCGCCATGGAACAGTCAATCTGAACCTACCATCATGGAAAAGACTCAAACAACCAGAACCTGAACGCGATTCAGGCATTTGGGGGTAGATCAACAAACAAATTCTATGCTTCCGTGCGGCAGTCGCGTTGCTTGAGTCCACTGTGACATTCGGGTCCGACGTGTCCGGATCCTGGTAGGGTGACACTGGCACTCAGGGAGCAACAGCTGCAGCAAAAACACCAGGGGCGAAAAGCAGCCGACATCAAATAGCATCGGCAGGGTCATCATCATGATCAATCACTATCCACACCATCACAGGGATGCCACTACCACGACTGCTGAGTATACGCATAGCCATGATCAGTTTCACCAACATGATAAGACCACTCTTATCAGCAGTAGCAGCATTGATGTCACCACCCTCTCTCGCAACATCAACAGCAGCAGCATCCGCATGGTCATCAGCATCACTCATGTTCCTCATTGCACGATCCTCATCGTCACACTGCCTATACCAACTTACCGTTGCAAACACCACCACACACCACCACCACACACCACCACCACCACCACCGCCGCCACCACCACTACCACCGCCACAACCACCACTACCACCACCACCACCGCCACCGTCCGCAGCTTCAGCTTCATACCACTTTGTCCATGTTATCATCACCGTGGCCATCGTCATCACATGTCATCACTGATTGCGTTCGTCTCGGTCTGCAAACACAGCACCTGCCACAAAATCGGACGTTGGTGCCCCGTGCAAGAAAAGCTCGCGCAGCCCACAACAAAACAAGGCCCAAGGCGCTTCGATCTGGGAGTCGTCCGAACGAGCCTGCACCTGCGTGGTTGTAAAGACCTACATGAGCAGCGTTCGTGGCCAAAGCCCAGCTGAATCTGGATAAGCTTGGAGCACAAAGGCCTGTGATGTTTTATGCCACATTCCAGCACTTCCACCATGGGACAACTAAGCGCGACACTTTGCTTTTCACATTCCGGCACGGTTTAGTGAGTACAGTTTCGGGTCTATGATTGAGTGAAATAGGGCTGAAGGTAGAGCGCTGGGCTTCCGGTCTGTTATAGGTTTGGACGGTTGCGGGCGACTTCGAGCCGAGTCGGCAGACTCGGCAAAATGCTCCAGAACATCATGAACATCCTTCACGTGCTGGGATGATTCCTATTTCGCAATATTTCGCAGTCCGGCCTGCATCGACACGGCCCCGAAGCTGTTCAGGATTAAGGAGCTCTCGTCCACACCGGCGGCAGAGAGGGCACTGGCAAGAATGGCCTCGACTCGACAGTCCAGCAGTCCGGACTTTTGTAGAGGTCATGGTGCCGAGAAAAACTCAGATCTTCAAGCCAGTACCCTGAAGTTGTGGAACCCCCAGTTCGGGTTTGAGTTTTGACTTCGACTAAGTCCGTGGAAGAAGGGCACACCTGGAAGCTGGCGAGGTCCTGCCCAATGTCAGCCACTGCCTGCCCGCGGAAGAAAACAAGAATCGCAAGCCCCGATTCTCACCGATTTGCTGCCTGCAGAAAAATCTTGGCGTCAATCCGCTTCACAGCATCAGTCCCGGGACAAGATCGGGATCCATGGCAACCGGGTGCTTGTCGAAGGATGTTGAATGAAGTAGTAACAGAAACCAAACGACAGCTCAAGCATGGATCGCTCGGAGGGCATCAAGGCGTTGGAGAGCAGAGCCGGCATTGCATCGAGCACCACTGATCTACCTGGGCCTCGAGGCACCGCATCTCGAACGAGAACGACTCAGACCTTCAAAGTAAAACCACCCGATCCGAGCCTCACTCAGCGTGTTTGCTCGGGTGAGGGCCGTGACCACCTGATACTGAACCTGGGCATTCAGACATATGTAGCCGTATTGCTACTGCAGTGCTACCACTGTTTGAGACAGCATTGAATAAGACACCGCAGGGCTCAATTTGGGCGAAGAGGCACTAGAACCTGCTAAAACCACCCCACTGGATGTGAACTTCAAGGTCCTGCTACCGAAACCACATCTCTGCTTGAATTAGTTAGAGTATACCTTGCCCAGTTTGGGTAATAATGCCACCGTCAACCCATTAGATGATCATTCCTAGGGTCCCCCCTAAATTTCACCGATATATCACTACTACTTCCCCCATTAGATGATTATTCCTATACTCCCCCCACCACTTCACCGATATATCACTACTACTACCCCATTATCAACACAATTATAGGAATAACCATAACCCCATCTATTATCTCTAAGGTGGCATTATTAGCCTAAATAGGCAAGGGGGTTCTCGTAGGATTTGGTTCAGGGTTTAGGGTTAAGGTTTGTAACCCCGAGCTTCTGCGGTTTAACCCCGCAATACCCAAAGTAAACAGAACAATCAGCACACTGACTGCCACTCGCACTTGAAGGGGCGGGGTGTTTAGTAATCGAATACATGGTTTAGGAGATTTAGACAATCAGGTTAAGTTGAGTTACAAGTTCGTTAACATGAGTTATAAGTGCTGTATATATACTATGTTGTATGGACAACTTAGCAAGTCCGAGGCTTGAATTAAGAAGTGGAGCAAGCAGTTGAGTCACTTAGCCAAAAGCAGGGTGGAACTTATAAGTAAGATAGAACAAGTCTTTTAAGCAACTTGCCAAACTTAGATAACTTTGTGTAACTGATTTAGGTAAGTGGTGTAAGTTGTTTATTTGAAGTTGTTTTCCTGGCATTTGCAAAGCTTCAAACGGAAGCTTGCATGGAGATCTCCTGCCGCATGTATTCAGGATGCAATTGAAAATTGCATGGAAAGCTGCTGCATTGCATGTGTTGAGGACATGCTCGCATGCTTGCCTTCTGTGTATTGTGCATGACTCCATGCATTGCAGCCATCTATCGCCATTGCAGGGCCCTTGGCTCGCAGGCAGATTTTCAGCTCCGTCCTCCATCTCGCTTGCCCATCATGCCTTTGCAGTCGGATGTGCGAGAGCGGCTGCAGGCTTTCCTTCGAGAAGCCTCGGATGGCGACGGCCTTGTCCGAATCGTGGAGAACTGCTTGAACTACTTGAAGTCCAAGCATCTCTTGACCTCCATGAAGTTGGAGGCGAGCCTTGTGGGGATCCATCCCTGCAACCGGGATGGGTACGGAGTGAATCCACAAGACGTTCGTGATCTTGTGGACTCGATTGTCGATGTGGGCTATGTCCCCACACGTGTGCATGCGGTCGGTGTCGAAGTCGAAGGAGACTGGGTCCGGCAGTGGAACAAGAAGCTGTTCGAGTCAGCCCACGGTCTTCTCGGAAGCCTTGAGCCGGAAGCGATCAAGATCACTTCGATCTGCGGATCACATACCAATTGCGCTTTGCGACTTTTTCAACAAGGTGCAAGCCACGGCAACGAGGTCGTGAGTGTGGGTGGAAAGCTCAGCATGGAGCTTCTTCGTGCTCGGGATGCTTCGTTCCACGAAGCAGCTGATCAAGGCCTGACGTGGGACGTGATCTCCTCCTCCGTGGCGGAAGAGTTCCCAGAGCTGATCAGCTTGATATCCCGGTCAGGCAACACATCGCTTCAACGAGGAGAACATGAGCTACAAGTACTCCGTCGCATCCATTCCACGTACTACCGCTTGCAGACTCAGACTGGCCAAGCACCGGCTTTTGCATCTCTGAAGAAGTTGATATTGGCCAGCAAACCAAGCTGCCATGCCTCCGTACCCCACATGTTTACGTTTTGTCTGAAGGCTTCCGGGGGTGCCGATGCGAGCTTCCTTCAGGAGACGGAGTCCTTTGTGCGGGCTTACTGCCCTTCTTCTCGGCAATTGGGGCCTGTCCTGTGGGAGGCTTTCGGGCAAGATTGCCGAGGGCACCAGTCAGATCCCGTTGCAGCATTTCGCCATGCACTCATGAAGCAGGCATACTTGAGGCAGAATGTGACCATTGCTGATGTGAAGAAGATGACTTCTAAAGAACTCTTCCCCAAGGTCAAGGAAGCTGACAACATGATCCTCACGGTCAGGGGCATCTTAAGGGATGGAGCTCGCGATTTCATGACGGATTCGCGGGTCGTGCAAGCTCTGGCCACTATGGATATGACGATAGCATCGCACGTCCTCGGCATCAAGGTGCCGGACGAGAAAAAGTACAAAACAGTCCAAGCGATTGGGCACGATTTTTTGCTCGTGGCAAGAAACCTGACCGGTGTTGCACTCCCTTTGCCATGGGAGTCGGTGTCTGAGCAAAGTGAACCAGCTGCAACTGCAGCGACTGCTTCCCAGCCTTCTGCTGCAGGTGTGATGCTTGAGCTTGCTGAAGACGGCAGTATCAAGGAACCTGAGAAGATATTGGCCTCCAAGGGTTTCGCTATGGGTGCACACATCCGTCGCAAGGTTGACAAAATCGAGGGAGTTCTTTCAGAAGTGAAAGGTCAGATGGTCTTTGTGAAGATGGCTTCGGGAAAGACGGCCAAGGTGGATCTCAATGTTATCCTGGCTGGAGATTGGGTCGTGTTTGTTCCTCGTGTGCAGCCCACAATGCTAGACAGCTTGGACCAGTACCAGCACCATGTGGATTTTGATGCCAGCATTCTTGCATCGAAGATTCAGCTTGAGCTCTACAAGCTTCACCAGTCCATGGAGTGTGGATCGGAGCACCTGAAATTGCAGCTGAAGCCTTCGAGGATGTTGCTTGCCAACTCGGACATCAAGAAACTCTGCATGGTGCCCATGACCAACAAGGTCGTGCAGAAATCCCAGGGCCAAGGCAACACCATGTTTGAGGTGCAGACGGACTGGCAAGGAGACGACCGCAAGTTTTGGCTTTCCGGAGCCAACATTCTACCCAAAGATAACGACGACGACACTTGCAAACATGTGGTAGTTCCCTTTTGGTTGGTGCAGCACAGCCATCAGGAAGAGGATTGCAATGTGAAGCTTGTTTGGATTGCGGGAACAGAGAAGAGCATCAAGATTCCGGTTTTTAAGAACACCAAGAAGATCCCGGAAGGCAGCCCCATTGTGGCTTTCAGATCTAAAACGGTGCAGGTGGCTCCCTTGGAGGAAGTGGAGGACGACCACAAGACTTCGGCGCAGAAAAGAGCATCGGCGAGCTCAGGTGGCTCCAGCAAGAAGGCTCAGAAGAAGTGATGTTTCGGCATCCGTATGCAGTCCAGTGTGCTGCTATACCAGCAGCAGCCATTGCTTGAGCTTGCAGTATCTGAAAGATTCCATTGTATGTATATGTGAGGTCTGTTTCTAATGCATTGCGGAGAAGGATATGTACAATTGTTGCAGGTTGCAAGCATCCGAGGGGCATGGTTTTTATAGAGCGACCATTCATAGAGTGTTCTGTGCAGCTGCATGGTGCGAGGATCCCTCAGGTGTGCGAGCTTGTGCTTTGCGGATGGAAATGCAGTGCAGCTTTATATGCTTCTGTATGCAAGTGCAGGATGCATCGCCCGTGATGAAGTGCAGGTGCATTGTTGAAGTTGCTGCTTGCATGGATGTGTTGTTTTCGCCTAGGCAGGGCATGTGTGCTCGCCGGCAGAAAACAGCTCCAGCCTCGCATCAAACCATTTCCCCCGTGCATCGCATCATCATGGCTTGCTTCGAGATTGTGACGAAACAGGTTGTCGTGCTGGGTGACCGAAGCTGGATGCCAACCCAAAAGAGTGTCGACGACCGGGTCTTCTGTGCTGTCTCGAAATGGTCCCCGCAGCTTGTGAAAATGATCACAGGCAAACGACTGGACTTGCGGTCCGGCCAAGGGGAATCATCGGGGTCGCTGAACATAAAGCTCTTTGACGATTTGATCGAGAAGAGGCAGGCTGCTTGCGACAAGCTGCTGGAAGAGGCCCTGAGGGACGATGAAGCCGACGACGAGCCCAAGAAGAAGAAAAGCAAGAAGGATAAGGTGAAGGCTTTGGCCAAGCATTTGCACCTGTTGCCGGCGATCGTCGACATTACGATCGATGGCTTTCAGCTGTCGATCCTCAGCGAGGGCCTGTCTACCGGGAGCATCTTCGTGGAGATGCTCTCCGAAAATTTCAATTGGCTCATGGAGCAGGCGAATCAACAAATGCCTGTCGATCGGAAGAAAAGAAGGCACAGCTCCCGGGACAAGACCGATGCCAGCGAGGATTCCGACAAGGAGGCCAAGGTTCCAGCGGCGAAAGCCAAGGGCAAGGCCAAGGCAAAAGCTAAGAGCACGGCCCTGAAGAGCATCCTGAATGGCTCCCCGGCCAAGAACCCGGCCCCGAAGGGCATCGTTGGCTCCCCGGCCAAGGCCAAGAAGTGATTCTGCATGCAGTCTCGCATGTATCTTCCGTGCATCCATGCAATGTGTATACTTGATGTATAGTATGTATCAACACACCGTGAAAAAAAAATATATATATATATATATACATATGTATATATTACTGTCAATGATGCAAACTCACAACGGCTCCACACTTTGATTGCCCGATGCTGTCTTTGGACAGACGACATCGACCGAAGCTCTCTGAACATTGGTGTCGTGTTTCTGCATGCACATTTGCCCTTGTTGCAGTGGGTGCCACGTCTGCGCCATGCTTGCTTTTTCAGCTCTTTTGGCTTGTGAAGCTGCCGTGGTTTTTGGGAGTGATGATGTCCTTTAGCTTCTTGTCGCGAAGCCTTCCCTCCGCTGTGGAGGTGGGGCCCCTGTACAACCACATGCACACACATGCCACCGCCCCAAAAATAACAGGCCGATGTGGTGGAGCGGCTGCAGCTCCACACGGACTTCTCGAAGTCCGGGAGGGGGAAATACAAGAATGATGAAGGCCGGTGCCCCCATGCAAGTGATATGGATATATAGCCTTTCATTTGGTTGCAATTGTTTTGCAGGCACCACGATTTCCTGGTCGGCCAAGATGGGGTGGAAGATCCTGTCTGTTGGAGGCTGCAGTTATATATAGTGTCTGCATGGAATCAAGTGAATTGGCTCGTGCACTCGTGCAGGTGACATGTACTTCAAGCACCCAGACGTGCAGGCCATGAACGTGCCTGCCAGCCCTGGTCCTAGGTGTTTTCTTAATTTGGGTAGAAGAAAACCGTTGTCGCCTAAGGCGGGTGGCTCTACTGGAACGACGATGTGGGAGACTTTAAAGCTTCTGTGATATGCCTGGAAGGCCGGGTATTTGAAGCTCAAGGAGTCCATATGTATATATCCATGTAGTTGCAGCATGCAGGCCACGAGGATTCGGACACCGTGGAGGTGGACGTCGAGGATCCACCGGCCGAGCCCAGCATGCCCGACATGTCATTGCAACTGCTTTTGCATGCTGCTCCATCGTACATATCTAGTGTGCCTGCTCGCCAGTTGTGCTGAAGCCGGCGAACAGCAAGAAGCAGCGCCCAGCGGAGCCGAAGGCGGAATTTCTTCGTAAGGCGATATAATGTACTTCTTGTTTGATTGCAGGAGCCGCCTCCGAAGAGGTACATGGACCCCGTGCCAAAGACCAAGGACAGCAAGCATATAGCTGTTCACTGTGTATATAATGCATGCTGCATCTGTGGCAGGCTTTGCCCGCGAACTGGGACGAAGGACTTCTTGTGGTTGTCTGGAGCCAGGCTTCTTTGCAAGTGTTTGTTGTCTGGATTGAGGAGATCTGATGCCGGACTCGAAGGGCAAAGGGCACTACGTGAAGCCCAAGGCTTTTTCTTTGGGTCTGGCATGCACGACTGCACTTGTCTCTATACTGATGCAGTCTTCTTGGGCAGGTCGCTTTCATCGACGAGCACGGCCAGGCTTGCCTTGGTCTTTGTGATGGTGCTTCAGGTTTGCCTCTGCTTGCTGCTGGCCCCGTTGCAGGAGTGGGCGGCGGGCATGGGGAGAAAGAGGGCCCGGACACGTGGTGGCCAAGGTGTCCGGGCACAAAGGCCCAAGGGGCACTCGAGGAGTCCCGAAGCCACATGGAGGACCCTTGCTGCTTGCCAATCCACGAGAACAGCAAAGCTGAAGACACCGCGAGCCCCGACATGCAGGACTTGCGGGCCTCCCTCCACACCATGGGGGTCATGGCCGAGACGATAACCTGCAAGCCCAGCGAGTCCGTTGAGGCCTGTGCTGTGACCGAGGAGCCTTTCTGTCCTGATGGTGTTGAAACTTATAATGCCTGGCAGGATCCCATGGTTCCTGCCTGGCACCCCTGGTTTGTGGCCTGGAGACCAGGGGAGCCGCCTGTGTTGCTCTATATACGGCCTGGCCTGCTTGCTTGGATCCCAAGGTCCTGCATGCTGTGAGCAGCGAAGGACCTGAAATTGGGGGCATTTTCCGGCTCGCCGCTTCGGGCACAGAGGGTCAGGGCTACCAGTCCCGATGGCCGGGGTTTATGCATGCATAAAGCCCCTTAAGCAAAATAGACCGGAACTTTATGCATGCATATGGCTGGGTTCAGTTTCCTAGGGCGGGGCTTATGCATGCATAAACCTCGGCAGGGCCAAGGGCACAAACCTTTATGCATACATAAAGGTTTCGGGTTTTTGGGGTCAGGCCCCTTATGCATGCATAAAGGGTTGCTTTCCCAGTGCCCTCGTGGTTCCCTGTCCTCTGGCCTCTCTAGGCAATAAGTAGGGAAACTATATAGGTAAGAAATAGCTTTGGGCTGCAGAAGACGAATCGGCGAGGGGGCTATATCCCCCTGTACAGCCGAGGCTTTGGGCTACCGGGGCCTCGTCCTGTGTCTGTTTCACGACCACAGACCATATGGGCCAGTTTGAAGAAAAACCGCCCATCCTCCGAGTGTGCACCGTTTGGTCAGGCCCATGAGGCACACAGACCCCCATGGCAACATGTGTGTGTGTGTGTGTGTGTGTTTGTGTCTGCGACAAAGAGCAACAAACGAGGAGAGGGAGAGAGGGAGACAGAGACAGAGACAGAGAACGAGTGAGCGAGGGAAGGTACAAGGGGGTTGGAGGGAGGGGGGGTTGGCTGTGAAGGAAGAGACTGCTACATAGCAAAGTGGCTGCATGGATTTCACTGAAGTACATATACATACACAGTTTTACACACTCTGCATATATACCTATTACATGTGAGATGTGTATCTACCCCACACACACATACATATATATATATATGTATATATACACGATATGTATATATATATATATATATATACATATACAGATACCAAAACATATCGTTCATATATTCTTATATACACATATATATATATATATACATACATATATGTGTATATATATTTATGTGTATATGAAATGGACTGAATCTCTGAACTTACATACACATATATTACACACTTGCATGCCTGCAGGTGTCGGTATACTGTAGTAACATGGCTGTGCTCTTGAGGGTGTCTACGGGTTCTGCTGGCGAGCTCAGAGCCCTGCCTGCGAAACCGAGACCCCTTTGGTGAAGAAGTCTTCCGGTCTGTGACTGCATGCAATGTGAAAGACGTCTCCAGTGGCAGGCTGCATGCTTGTGTGTTGCAAAGCACATGCACTCCATCATCTGCCTGCTGCCCGCTGCTGCTCTATAGACAGGTGTTCGCAAGCAGGGCTACAGCAGCTCGCTTTGTGCAGAGCATCTGTGCTATATCCGGCCGTGCCATGGCAGCTGCTTTCCTTCGACAGCTGAACCAGCTCCTCCAGACCCAGCAGCCCATCATGGGAGATCAATGGACTTCTCTCTTGGCTGCTCAGAGCGAGGTCGCCATCAGAACGATTCGTCAAAGCCACATCACAGTCGAGGAGGGTGCAGAGATCTGCAGCTTGGTGCAGCAGGGCCTTTGGTCACACGAGCAGAAGCAGGCCCTGGGTGCAGCCGTCTCCCAGACCTTGGCAGGCAGCACTCCAGCAAATGCCAAGGCCAAGAAGAAGAACCAGGAAATTCTCAACTTCTGGGGTTTCTTGGGCGCCGAGGACCGGAGAGTTTTGTCCAGCGACGACACTCTCGTCATGAGGCTGACTCACACTGCTCAGATAATGGCTCGACTGGAGATGTTCTGGCCATCAGAACAGTCTGTGGGACACATCATCAAGACCCTGCAGAGTTGCAACAATACTGGCTTGCAGAGCCCCGACGAGTTCCATTCGGCTGTCGTGTGCCTCAAGAAGAAGGTGAAGACCATGCTCAAAGATGCTTCCTGTGGCGAGTTCGTCGCCAAGTACACTCGGCCTGAGGATCTTCCACCACACACCCGAGATCGCTTCGCAGATGCCTTGGGAGGTGAGCTGCCTGGAACAATGGTGCTGGCCCGTGATGCTCTTCGTGGCAGTAACAAAAGCCTCTCTTTCCACAAGAGCAACACTGCCATGGTGCTGGGTGGTCCAGCAGCAGGCCCGGCAATGCACATGCCCCACACCATGCAGGGTATGATGCAGTTCTGGGGCAGCATGGCAGCTAACATGTTCAACCAGCAGCAGCAATTGGCGAAGAAGAACGATGGATTGCCTGGGTTGAAAATCTTCGGCGACCCAGCTGCTGCCGCCTCGTCTGGGACGATGGCCTCCTCGCCTGCTCAACAGCAGGCCTTGCAGCTTCCTGCAGTTACCAATGAACCGGCACAGGGCAGCGGAACAAAGCAGGCCGAGCAACAGGGAGTGCTGGCCAGCAAGGATCCTGTCAGTGCTGCACAACACGCAGATGAAATGCTTCAAGCTTGGAAGGGCGAGAACAAAGGGTTCGACAGCACCGTCGAGGCCGAGGCCAAGGAAAACGAGGCGAAGCACAAGGCAAATAAGAAGCCCAAGGCTGCAGCCAAGGCCAAGGGTAAAGCCAAGGCCAAGGCTAAGGCGAAGGCCAAGTGCACGGCCATGAAGTCCCAGCCCAAAGCAAAGTCGCAGCCCAAGGCGAAGGCCAAGGCTGCTTGCAAGGCGAAGGCGAAGTCGCAGCCGAAGAAGGTCCAGAAGGCTTTGCAGAAGTTCACTCGAGAAGAGGTCCGATGCATGACTTTGTCGGCTCGCATCAAGCTGCGACCCAATGGGTGTGCCAAGTGCCGGGAAAAGCCCGGCTGCACACCGTCGTGCTTTGGCCCGTGATTGCATCAACAGCTGCTGAAAGCATGCACAGCTGGAGTCCTATATAGGGTGAGAGTTTGGAGGCTACAGGCAGAGTGTATACATCTTAAGTCTATATGCATGTTGACGTGTTTTGGTGTCTTCCAGCATCAGCAAAGTTTTGTTCGCGAGCCTCCACGAAGCATGCACCTTATTATTCATCTTTCACAAAGGCTGTGTGTACATTAAAGGCATTGTACCTCGGGAGGTATAATGTTGGGAGCATCGCTTGCCACGGAGGGAAAGACCGAAGCGATCCTGGCAGGTGTCAAAAGCGGTGGTGCAGGATGCCTGCACGATCCGGGTTTTTGTTTCGTGGCATATTATATATGTGTTATATACATATATATATATAGATATACTTTACATATGGGATGTATATATATATATATATATAGGAGCCTATATATACTTTATATATATATATGGGTTGAATATATATTGATATATATATATATATATATATACACACATATATTATACAGGGGTGTCCTTTTAGGAGGGTGCGAATGTGGACCCTTCTTCGAGAGCTATGTTGAAGCTTTCGAGTTGTACATGTATATACTATATATGGCTTTGCGATTTATTAAGATGTGTCTCAGGATCACGTTTGGTGTTAGGTTAGGTTTGGTGTGGTATATACTATATATATAACTGTATATACATGTATATATATGTGTACAAATCAATACTCGGATGCTATATATCTATAGCTTTCGGGTTTCTGTGTATACATATATATATATATATATCAAATATTTAGTTTCGGGTTTATGGTTAAAGGTTGTCTTGGCCTTGCACTGGAGTTTCCCGGACTGCTCGCAGTGGGGTTGCACCGTTGCAGCAATATGCTTGGAAACCTGCAGGAACAAAGAGCATGCATATATACATGTAAACAAAACATATCTCTGTATATATATATAGATATATAAGGTACGTACACAGTGCCTGCATGCTCCCATCCACTTTTCCTATATATAGTATACCTTTTATACAGATATACATATATATATATATGTATGAATCTGCAGTCAAAGTAGTGGGTCGCTCGGCAGGGCCAAGAGCTCGCCAGCAGACCCCATGGCTTCCGCCGGGAGCTCCTCGCTCTCCTGCTTGGGAAGGAAATCATATGTATCCCAGCGAGGTCTCAGTCAGGTCTTGCAGGAACTCAAAGAGCTGCCCGAGTTGCCATCTGGGACGAGTCGCCGAACACTGAAGCGGGCCCGGGATGAGAAGACTCGGAGCTACCAAACTGCTTATGGCGAGATCCTATGCGACTTCAAGTGTGTTGCCGAAACTGGTGTGGAGTTTGAATTTCCTGTCTTGAACCCAGCTGCAATGCTTGCCTGGGCGACAGAGCGATGTCGACCATTTGGCGAGTTCCTGGAGAGGGCCATGGATGCCACACCCCCCAGCATTCTTCAACCATGGGGATTGGTGTGGTATTCCGACGAGCTGGCTCCGGGCAACCAACTCAAGCACTCGAACCGGAGAAAGGTCCAGGCTGTATATTGGAGCCTGCTCCCTTTGGGACAGCATGCAATGGGTTGCGAAAATTGCTGGTTCACTCTCTGTGCCATTCGCAGCTCTCTGGTCGCAGATCTCGGCGGCATGACTGTGCTCTTCAGGCAGCTAGCAGCCTTGTTCTTTGAGAGACCTGACTTCAGAAAAGGTCTTGTGTTGCAGTGCCCTGGACAAGCACGTATGCTCTTTGCCGACTTGAAGATCATCATATCCGACGAAGCTGCAATTAAGGCTACCCTTTTCAATAAAGGAGCCAGTGGGCTCATATTCTGTGTTCAATGCCAAAACGCCGTGGACCACAAAAGCAGCATTGCTGAAAGGAGTCGGGGCAATATGGTGTCCGGCCTGGAAACCGACATGAGTTGCTTTCGGATGCACACACCCGAGTCTATACGAGACACCATGGACTTCTTGCGAAGGCAAGAGACGGTCCTCAACAAAGACAGATTCCTGCAACTCCAAACAGCAATGGGGTTCAATTTCAAAGAGGGTGGATTGCTGGCACATGCAGCATACGGGCCTCCGGTCATCGAGTGTGTGATGTTCGATTACTTCCATATCTATTTGGTCAATGGCATCTTCAATGTTCTGACGGGGTTTTTTCTTGGAGAGCTTCACAACCATGGCTGGAAGCACAATGACATTGATCGCTTCGCAAATGGTTTTACCTGGCCTTCTCGTTTGCGAGGTGCTGCTGCAAAGGATATCTTGCAGAAGCGAAAGCCAAGCGAAACCTTGAAGTGTGGAGCCAGCGAGGCTCTGAACTTTATGCAGCTGCTGCGACTCTATGTGCTAGTCTTTGTGCTGCCAAATTGCAGCAGAGATATCCGGGACTCTTGCGAGGTTTGGTTGGCTTTGTGCAAGGTGATTGATGCTTTGCAAGCGATCAATGCCAAACCTTCAGCATTTACCCCCCTGGAGTTGCAGCAGCTCATCAAAAGGCATCTCGATCTGGCGAAAAGTCGGTATGGAGATGAGTGGTGGGTGCCAAAGTGTCACTTGGCAGGCCATTTGGCGCTGCAACTGGCCAAGCATCAGGTCCTCCTCAGCTGCTTTGTGCACGAAAGAAAACATAAAATCATCAAAAAAATTTCGAATGAAATTTTGGATACAAGCAGAACCTTTGAGAGGAGCATCCTACAAGATGTACTCCATGGTCACATGGAAAGTCTGGCAGAGGGTGTATACCTCCCAGGCCAAGGAGTTCGCTTGGTCGACCCTGTGAGACCAGCTCCTGCCAGATTGCAAACAGAGATACACAACACGATCCGGGTCCAGGGTGAAGTCTTCACAGCCAGGCAGGCAGTGCATGGAGGAAACTTCACCGTGGCTGTCGGCGACTTGGCCTTGATGGATCTGGATGGGGTCACTGCCGTAGGCAAAGTGGCTTATCATGTAATGTGCGAGAAAGTTGTATGGTCGCACATTACCTTCTGGACACATGTCCATGGCTGTATGTATGAAGTCTCCGACGATTGTGGCCTCGTGCAAACCCGACTGATCCGGGCCACATGCCCTTACAGCATTTCGGGCAATGCTGCCATTGTCGCAGTCCCGCAGGTGTAAAAAAGAGAACTGCATGCGAGCTTTAAAGCCCTGCATTGCGTCTCTGAGCAGCATGCTTCATGCAACTTAGATCACTTAGCTCACTTATCTTTTTCATATAAATACACTTAGCTAACCAAGTTAACTTCAACATAGCTAAGTTCAATAACTACACTTACACATCTCATATAAGTCATTTGCTAACTGTGCCAAACAATTAACAACCTGCATATACAATTACTAACACCCCAGCCCCTTCAAGCAAGTGCCTTTTCCACACGCGGCACTTCCCGATTTGCCTCAAGGCGCCGTGAGAGCCTCTTCCCATGTTTTCAGATGGGTGAGGGCATCTGGCATGTCAACATTCAGCCGTCCCTTTAAGACGGAGACGTTCTTGTTGTCCAACGATGGACACTCTGGGCAGACAAAGCTCGCGAAACTCTCCCACGGAACTAGATAGATAAGCAGACATTGCAATTCCTTCTTGTCTGATATGGACTTCGCCTTAGAAGCGCCGACGATAGTCTGAACATCGCCCCATTGAGCAGCCCTGTGCAGTTTGCCGACAGTTTCCTGAAACATGAGCAACTGGTAGCTCTTGAGATCGTCCGACTGAACCAGCCCGAACATGTCAATCGACCCGTAATTGACCGGGGCTTTGAGCAGAGCTCCAACCTCAAGTTTGGGCATCATCGACTTCTGGTTCTTCACATCGATTCGCTCAAAACTGCCAGGCTTTTGGAACGAGCCCTTCATCTTCGACTCGACCAGGTCGCATAGATTGCCTTGCACCAATTGCTTGTATGCCCACTCCTCGAACATGTGCCCAAAGGCCTGCATGGAAAATGGGTTCTTCATCATGCACCCTATCTTTGTTTGCTCTGCTTTGCAGCGCTGAAGTGCTTCTTGAAGAAAATACGCGGCCACGAACTTGGAAATAAATCTCTTGGTGCCCCAATCTTGTCCAGTGCCATCGATCTCCATGAGCTTGTATGGCAAACGTTGGTCTAACAGGAGCTTATCCGAGGCCACGCTTGTCTGCATGAACTGAAAGAGCGTGTCCTGTTTATCCTGCTCCTTCAAAAGAGACCCCAGTGCTTTCTTCATCTCGGCATCAGTGGTCAAATCATTACGGAGACACCAGCGAGGCACGCATCCAAAATTCCAAATGAGCTCATCACTGGCGTCGGGCGCCACCGCCTTGATTTCCTCGTAGTTCCACATGTGCATGACCAGAATGCGTCCATATTGACTGTCCACAAGCGCTTTGGTGAGTTCCTTGTAGTTGCCAACCTTCGTCTCCTGTCCCGACAGCGGTGAAGCAGAGGTCGTCACGAGCATGAAATTGAAATGGAGGCTCTTGTCCAAACCTGCGATCTGCACACAGGGGTCAAGCAGCGCCAGTCTGTTGGCAGGGAAGTCGCTCAAGTCTTGAACAGTCGACAGAACAGTCGACAGTTTATTGACGGTGCCATCCACATCCATCTCAAAGAAAGCTACTCCAAAGTTGACAATGACTTTCGGGAACCTTGTTTTCGGCAGCTTCTCATGACCCTTCAGCCATTGCCGCATGACATAGAATCTGAACGCGCTCTTGCCAATACCACTCGTGCCGACTATGATGGCTCCATACTGCTGGTCCTGCTCGGCGCCCATGCCTTGAAGGAGATTGCAATACTCTTCACGAAGCAAAAAGCTCAATGAGGTTGACTTCGTGGAAAGCTGGAGTTTCTTCAAATCCCAGCTCTTGTCGACGTCCAGTTTGAGGACTTTCTGTCCATTTACATCCGTCTCCTTTGCATCACGCAGGGCTCTGAAGAAGCTCGTCATCCCCGCGTCGGATTGGAGAGCCTGAAGTGCAAAATCACACCAAAGCTGCGTCTAAGACAATCCCCTCCTCCTTCTACAACCGAAGATACCAACCCCTAAACCCAACTAAGCAACCCAATCAACTAACCCAATCGGGAAACCCTACGAGGAAACCAAACCTAGCGGGGAATAAACCACTACGCTACAACCAAAGAGCCAACCCCTAAACCCAATAAGTAAGGTGATCAACTAAGGCTATCGGGGAAAACTACGGGGAGGAATGCAGCTAAAGAAACTTACGTGGAATAGAACCAAAAGATGTGATGTTTGTAACCCGGGAGCGCTTTGCCGTAGACCGTCCTGCAAACTCATCGCCACATTAACTCGCTCCGCCCCTTCGATGGCGGCGGGTAGCAATGACATGACCTCTTGGAGAGATCGGTTAGCCAAACCATCTTCTTCTATTCCAACGAAAGCAGTAGCCACCAGTTGTTGCAGCTCTTCCGTCATGCCTCTGCCACGCAGAAGGTCAAGAACCCATTGTTTTTCAACCTTGCGCTTCTTTAGCGCCGGTTCTGTCATTGCCCTCAGCGGAAGTGCAAAGTGCTACTGACCATGCCACATGTTGATACTAGCATGTGCATTCAACATCACTGCCACTTGCTTGACTGTTGAAATAACGTGCACAAGCTGGAATCATGTAGTCGGTTGCGTTTGGCTTGAACCGAGTGCCTCTGGTTTACCAGAATCAAAAGCACAAGACAGACTGCCGCCTCCGAATTCTCAGGTTGCCTACGCTTTGCAATTAATTTCGCGAAATGCTGCTAACTTGAAACAAGAAGTCGTGAACCCACTGACAACTACAAGTTGCAGATCCTAGACCTACTCGCAATTGTAAGTTGCAAGTGGCATAACAACCTACAACTCAAGTTGTGAAAACCCGCACAACTTCAAAATATAATGTCAAAAGCTACACTTGTAACAACTAAAAGCGCAAATACGCTCTATTGTTACCTTCAACATAATAATATGTTTGACCCAGTTTTCGTCAATTCTTTCTATGGTATAAACATTTTGTGACCAATTTGACACACGTTCTTTTTCATTGGGTTTCCTCTTCCGAAATATTTTAACTTCATCTCCGACACCTAGATCAGGATAGACCCGATTTCGTTTAGCATTCATGTTTGAATGCAGTTTAACTTTTAATTCGTTGCTCGGTTTTCTCGCATCCTTTGGGGTGAAGCCAGCATTTTATTGTTATATGTTAATAATATTTCGAAAATATAATCGGTCCATTGGATATTGTTTTTACCCTTTTTCTGAGCGGCTTCAACACGTCGATATAATAAATCTTTGAACGTCCTACTAGCTCTCTCGCTAAAATTTGGATGCGCCCTAGTTCTGTGGTGTTCTATGTTCTGTTCCTGTAAATACTTTTGTATTGCCTCTTTGTTCATTGCTCCCTCGTCGTCGGTATAAATTATTTTTGGCTTCTTCCCCATCTTGTTTAAGCACTCAATCATCCCACTCGCTAAATCTTCTTCTTTCTTACCTTTAATAGCCACGACGTGCATAAACTTATCAAATATGTCAATCATTAACATTCCTACTCTAAATTTTTGATCTTTCAAGTCGTTAATAAAAAACAAATCCATCTGATACTCGTATGCCGAATGGGGAGCGACAAAACTATTTGAACCGACGGGCTTACGCTTTTGATCAACATTCTTCCTAAACAACTCGTTAACATCAGACATTGTGATGGTTTTGTCTTTCTCCCGCGCTTCTTCTAAAGTCCGGCTTTTTGAGCCAAACCCCGCGCGATCAAAATACACATTATTAATGATTTTTTGTTTCTCGCTCATATAAAAACAAAAGAAAATAATGATTTAATAACTAAATTAAATCATCATTCGTCATCCATCGGCTTTATGATCTTGAACTTGCTCATATCATATTTGGGTGTGCCGCGCTTTGCGTTAAAAGGCTTTTTTGCATTCATTATTTCAGATAGCAATTCTTCTGTCAACTCATCGGGGTTCAGTTTGATATTGTTGGCTTCTTCATACTCCTTGATCTTCTTTCTCTGATTGTGTCGTAGTGCAGATTCTCGTTTCTTTTGCATATATTTTTCATCATTTCTGCGCTTGTTGTAATACAATCTGCTGTATATGGCGAGTTGCTCTTTGATTTCATGCATTGTCATATCCTCGGGTTTTTTGTACTCATATTATACTATACTATATATAAATTTTTATCTTTAGACATATTTCTATACATAAAAAAGCATTTAATATCTTAAAAAACATCTTTGGAAAATTACACTTAAAGATTTAATAATATATAGTTTAATTATATTAGTATATGTCCAAAGCCATTAAGCGTAATACGGAAGCACTACAAACATTTTATACCAACAGACGAAACCGCATCCCCCAAGCAACCAGAACAAAAGTGCAAAACATAATTAATCTATACACAGATCGTAAGATCGCCCAATTCACCACAGCAGACAATTTAATTAGGAAACTCACCACCGCAAAAACAGACAAAGAAAACACAAAAGCGGAAAAAGACTACAACAAGATTTATGACAAACATAAGGATAAAGAACAACTAGGTCAGAGAATGGCACAAGCAAAAGAAGACAACAAAAGAACAGGAAGAACCAACCCGAGGAAATCAAGAAAATATTCAATCAATGTCCATTTATACCAACTGAAGACAGAATCACACCAAGGATTATCAGTATCCTTCAGAGACAGTAGGGGTAGGGCATACGTTCCTATTTATATGCGTGATCTATCAGCCAATGTAGCCACAACACCGTGGGTTGAAAACCTAGCGGGGAGACGAATATTTAGAGACGAGAAGCCCGACACAAAAACATTTCATAGGCTCAAGATGTTATTAATGACAGATGACAGTTTTAAAGCCGATGTCGGTTATGCCGAAGGTTACATTGCTTGTATTAAAGTTAATTACGCCGAAAGGGTAGATAACGCCGATGCTTTCAAGCCACAAGACGAAGAACTAACAAACACCACCGCAACCACCACCACCACCACCACCACCACCACCACCACCACCACCACCACCACCACCACCACCACCACCACCACCACCACCACCACCACCACCACCACCACCACCACCACCACCACCACCACCACGTCCCCATGGCTTCAGCTCAGCTTCATACCACTCTG